GAGAAGCGACAAGAAGCCCAGAGCCGCAGGGTAGGTGAGGCTTTGAAAGGGGAGCACAGGGAGGGGGATGGCCAGCAACAGCTTTCAGGCCTGGCACCTTGTGCTTGGCTTCCCACCAGCCATGACTGCGATAACAGTGATAACAGTGCCCACCCTCGCCATATCCACTAGTGACTGGCTTAGCACGGTGGCTTAGAGCAAAGTCTGTTGGCACCAGGGAGGTGGCTGCAACCAGACATTTTTGGTGGCCTTTGTGGATGGTTCTGGAAAGGTGAAACCTGCTGGTTCAGAGACTGGCTGTTCCTGGGGCTGGGAGCAACAGGGACCCTCACCAAACTACCGCCCCACACCAAGTGGGTGCCAACTGCCTCAGGCATCCTGAGCACTTCGAGGGTCCCTTCGCCTGCTGCAGCCATTGTCCCCTTGTCACAGCCCCCTGCCCTTGTCATGACCCCCAGTCCCCTTGTCACAGCCCCATGTCAATGGCTCTGCACGATCTCTGCATGCTTGGCTGGGGGTTTGCACCCTGACAGCACCTGGGAAGAGCAGGTGGTGGGCTGGGGCCCCATTCCCCTGCCCCCCACATCCCACCCAGTGATGCCAGGTGGTCCCATCTCCTCACCCTACACATCCCCCCCGTGATGATGCTGCAACCGATTTGAATTTGATGGGAGTTTTATAGGGGTGGTCCTGGTGCTGAGGGGGGCAGGGGGTGCTCCCTGTGCTGGGAAGAGGATGTTCCAATGCCAGGGTGGGGGTCCTGCTGCTGGGTGGGGTCCCAGTGCAGAGTGGTCCAGATGTGGGAGGGTAAGTGGGGGGTGTCAGCGAGCCAGCATGCAGAGCTGGTAGAAGGGGGGGATGTTGCCAAAGCCGCTCTCCAGGGGATCGGTGGGCAGCTGGGCTGGGGGCACCAGTGGCTGCAGCTGGAGGTTCTGTAGGATGGTGGTAAGGAAGAGGAAGATCTCCATCCGTGCTAGGCCCTCCCCCAGGCACACCCGCTTCCCTGTGGACACCAGCAGGTCAGCATGGGAGGATCACCCCCATGGGTGCCCCAGGGGTGCAAGGGGTCTCCCAGGGGTCTAGGTTACTCCCCAGGAGACCCCCAGAGGTACAGGATCCCCAGGGGTGCAGAGGGAGGTGCAGGGACCCCCCCGGGTACCTGCGGAGAAGGGCACGAAGGCCTCATTGCGCCGGAAGCGGCCACTCTCATCCAGGAAGTTGGAGGGGTCAAAGGTGTTGGGGTGCTTGAAGGAGGCAGGGTCATGCAGGACAGAGCTGAGCAGGGGGTACACATCGGTGTCCTGGGGACAGGGGAATCAGGATGCGGTGGATTCGGGGGCAGGGGGGCAGTAGGCACAAGGGGCATGCAGGCATCGGGTGTGCATGAGGCAGCATGGGGGGAGTGTGTCCGTCCCCATCACCAGCCCCCCGCACCTTGGGGATGAAGTAGCCACGGAAGATGATGTCCCGCGTGACGCGGTGGGGCACGTTCATGGGGATGAGGTCAGCGCGGCGCTGGATCTCGTGGATGACTGCGTCGGTGTAGGGCATACGGGGCCGGTCCTCAATGGCAGGGGGGCGGTGGGGGCCAATCACCCGCTCAATCTCCTCATAAACCTTCTCTGTGGGAATGGGGGGGCCCGCTCAGGGCCTGGAAGTCCCCATGGATCTGGAGGGATGCCCCCCATCTTACCTTGCACCTCGGGGTACTTCATCAGCATTAGGAAGGCATAGCGCAGGGTGGAGCTGACAGTCTCTGTCCCAGCAAAGAAAAGATTGAGGGTGGTGAGCTCCAGGTTCTCCAGAGTGAACTCTGAGGAGGGGTTGTCCTTCTCCTGGGGACACAGTGGTGGTGGTGAGGGACCAGGAGCATGTGGGGTAGCGCCCAGCATGGGCATGAGTGATGTGGGGTGCACAGGAACAGTCCAGGGTGTCTGGGATCAACACCAGCATCACCCCCGGATGCCCAGGATCACCCCCTGGTAGCACCCAGGGCGTCTGGGATCCCCTCTAGGACTCCCCTAGGTGCACCCCCAACCTTCTCCATCTGGAGCAGGAAGCAGTCGATGAAGTCGCGGGGCTGCTCTGGCTCCAGGCTCCGGGCATTGCTCTTCACCCTCCGGGCGATGAATTCCCGCATCTTGCCCAGGAGCCTCGGGATGCGCTGGTGGGGGCCGGGCAGGGGCCACAGCACCGACTCTGCCATGTCGTAAATCTGCGTGGGGGAGTGAGAGGTGCTGTCAGACCCCCCCAAGTCCCCCACTCACCCCACCCTCCCAGCCCCTACCCCGTGTCACTGCCCCAGCCCCAGCGTGGGCCCCCATACTGGCCCTGTCCCACCCCGATGC